TCTCTCTCTCTCTCTCGCATACACATATTCCCTATTTTCATTTCCATTGCCCACCCACCTCTCGCTGCTCTCTCGCTCTCTCTCGCTCTCTCTCTCTCTCTCTCTCTCTCTCTCTCTCCCTCTCTCTCTCTTTCTCTCCCTCCCTCCCTCTGCGTGCGTGCCTTGCTCACGCTCGTGTTCTGTCATGTCATGTGAGCCCCAAGACAGACACATATTTACTCTCCCGCTGCCTGCTCCCTCTTATCGCGGGCCAATTTAGCGGATGGGACGGGCGCTGGTCAATATTTGGAAACAAAATATCTGGACCCCTATCGGCTGCCGCCACCGTTCTTGAAAAGGGCTGGTTCCTTTGGCCGCTTTGGCGCTCCTCGGCTTTCGCTCGCCCTTTCTTGGGCTCCACTCAAGGAGAGTTCGATAAAGACTGATAACTCCTGTGTCTTATGGGGGCCATTCAAGTCAAATCCAATTAGACTGCTTGGGCGAGGCGGGAGATTACGAGTATTGATCTCTAAAGAGGTTTCCGGATTTGTCCGACGTGTCGGCTGTGCAGGATCGGATCAAGTGTGGCTATCTATAATGCGGTCAAAGCGTACATGACGAAGGAAATCAGCCAAAATGTCACGAGGAAGAACAAAGATATGGCACGATAAAATACGGACAGTCGGTTAAGCGTTATCTTCTCCGTTGTTATTATTTAAGGAAAAACTAAAAACAAAACAAAAACAAAACAAAAAAGAAAAGAAAAAAGAACTAATAGCTGGTACTTTGAAAACCCCGTAATTTCTCCATTTGCTTCCCTTTGAAAAGCGTCTCCAAAAATGACTAAGCCCATTTCGCCAAAAGAAAAAAAAATACAACGACATTACATCAAACAAACTAAAGGCTTTCAGTGTTTATCTAATACTCATCTCATTAGAGAAGAAGAAAAATGTTTGTCAGTGTCATTATTATTACAATTTCTATTCTATTACCGTTCGCTTTTGTTTTGTTTTTTTGCTTTCGTTGTTGTTGCTGTGATGATAATGAATTATGATGATGATGTCTTTATTATCATTATTATTACATTGTACATTTTTATTTAATTGTCAACCAATTTATTTTTCATAAGGACCAGCTTCTGGCGAAAGCTCACGACTTGGCCTGGAAAACAACGAAATGGGTTTCGTTTCGAAATTTAGAGTAGAAGAGGGGAGCAGATTTAACTCTTAGTAGTCTTAGTATTAGGAAGGCTATTCATTCTTTCCAAGTTTCCAGCATAACAAATTTCCCTAGAACTCCGCTCCTATTTAACCTATGATCATAAAACACACCCCAAAATGAGAAAAGATCCATGCAGTCAACATACAGTTTAATTATAGATAAGATGCATTTGCTGAGGTTCGGTGGGTTTCTGTTAGAACTGTAAACTACCTAGTGATGCTATGCCAGCTGAACTGGCAAGCCCGATGCTAATAGTTACGCTCGCCATTATTCGAAATCCGCAGGATCGGACAAGTGTGCAACCGCTCTTAAGTTCGGACTTGGGAGGGTGCAAGAGTTGTGGTTGTTATGATGGTCATAACTGGCCTCAATATAAACCTCGACCAATTATTTCGTTTCTCTGATTCCCTGAGCGCGTGTTTTTATACCAGCAATGATTAAAAAGCGTGTTAACTCCGCCTGCTGCGTGGTTTATGGCAAAATCTTTGCTACTGGTCTCAAGTGGGCAATAAGTTTTGTCTTTGAGAGCTTAAGATTTATGAATGCATGGTTCTGAAACAAAACAATTAGATAGAAACAAGTCTTTTTTTTTTTTAATATTGTTTTCAAAGGCATAGGGCTACAAAGCTAACGGATGTCTTTTCGTACAAGGTCTTTTGTTTTCCTTTCATTCTACTTCTTATTGGGAACTTACGGGACGGAGGGCTTTATTTCCCAAGAGGGTGGTACTTTACACAAGGAGAAAAGAAGGAATGAATAAATTTAGCGGTTTTTTAGTGGGAAAGGATTTGGTTTTGGGGAACATTGTGACCTGCTTGCACTGCTGTTTCCTTTATTGTTTTGCTTACGCTTGTTGGGTTGATTTTGTTGTTTTCCGGCTAATGTGCTCACTTAGATAATTATTAATTTCTTGGTCTATATTTCACAGACAGACAACTTATTTTGCAAATCAACTTTACTAGTGTAAATCTCTTTTAAAACGTTATGTTAATTGTCTATCTTCGGTGCAGAGACCCATGTCGTTTCCTATTTAGCTCTTTGATGATTCAGATTTTTTTAAAATAAATATTTTCCTTTTGGGGTTAGGCCTGAGCGGGGAAGGGGTTGATGGGCAGGCCGGGACGGAGGGTGGGGGGAGTTAGAAGTGGAGTGTTTGATGCATTATTTGTATTCTAATTATGATTTGGGGAAAACCAAGAGAATCAGCAGAATCTTGAAAGAATTCAGAGAATGGAGTGCAACCATTCCGCCACTCTACCCCTTCAGCTATTTTCTCTTTTTCAAAAATCCCCCGCATCTTAAGGTCTACCCAGCTCACGGTGCCCTGTGACAGACATTCTCAACAGGGACGACTTGAAAAGATTTCTTCTTCCTCGAAACGAACTGCTCTGCCTGCAACATTGGTTTATTTTCCCTGGGGCGGTGAGTAATTAATCAGATGCCCCTGGCAAGATTCCCCCAACAAGACCATTTGACACAAACCTGTGTTCACGGGTGACGATTTAACGCTTTTCCCTCAGCGCCATTTTTGAGACGACAAGATTTTGATTTCTGGACAAGAAGCAACACTTCACCCCCC